ATAAGAAATGCAAAATTCTGGCTATATAGCCCTGCCATGCTTTGCTAAACGAATATGAATCTTCATTAACTGAGAAGGATAGAGGATAAGGATGAGACCTGTGATCCCTGATATAGGAAACTCCTAAATGAGAAAATGTCCTCCTACCAATGCAGGTGGGCACCTTCCCTGCAACTCAGTCTTAGAGAGGTGCCTGGAACACTAGAGGATAGATGATACAAGCTCTGATAAACATGGCCCTCCTCCCACCCCATCACATCCATTGATTTCCAGAGTTCAGAGGTCTTTTTGACTCGAAGGCCAGCTCTCTACCCACTACACCATGAATGAAAATGAATTCCCTAATGAAAATGCATTAAATAACATTCAACCCACATCTTTGTTTACCATCCCACACACCAATGTTATCATGGTGGTGGCTCATTCCTTCTTTTCTTCATCGACTCTGTAACCATTGACTGAATGCTTATGACAGATAGATTCCTAAAGAATAGAACTTTAAAAAAAAAAGAACAGAATTTTTTTTGAAGGTGGTGGGGAACCTACCTGGCACATACTTGATTGACTTTCTTTAAAGCCATGTAATCTAATTAGCATGCCACTTGATAGTACAAAAAACAAAAAATCTTTGGTCACAGCCATGAGGTATTCTGTCATTAAAAGCCCACAAAAGGAAAATTAGAAAGAGGTGGGGTCGAGGGGAGGAGGGTTCCACTGAACACAAAATGAGCCTGATGACAAGTCTAAGAAGAGCAGTTAGGCAGTCACCCTCCAAAGGTGGACCTTTGCAACACTCTACCTTGGCAAGCTCATCAGATTAGGGGCAAGATTTCACTCTGCTACTACTGCCCAGCTTCATCTTGGACCCCATGTACATGCACATGGTGTTCTAATGACTCAAAAAATCTGACTCTGCCAAGGTCCAGCACTTGTCATTCATTAACTCCTTCCATGGCTACCAAGATGGAGGGTTGTTTTTCATGCTTCATTCACTGGTTTGTTTCTCCTCGGCTTCAGGGATCCACCGATGTTTAATTTACCTAACTACAGGCTCTAATAAACATGGCCCTCCTCCCATTCCATCACATCCATTGATCTCCAGAGCTTACAGTTTCTTTCTCCCCTCTAGTATCAAACAATGGCTTCCTGACTTAATTGCAAAAATTCCTTGACAAAAATATGCCCAAACATTGATCAGAGCCACTGTCCTTTTGGAGGATTTCAAAAGATGATTTCCTTTTGTTAGCATGCCTATTAAAAGATACAAAAAGGGCAGGATTAAAACTTCTGTGGCACCTAAGTTTGGGTCTGTCTTTCTGCCTCTTCCCTTAAATCAACTGAGTCTGAATCCTCTATTTATCATGTCAGAACAGTGAATAAAAATAACAAATTCAAATCACAGCATCCGTGGCTCGGCCGGTCTTCACATTTGTCATGTCATTCTCTACTCAGTCCTCTTGTAAATTAAGTGACCTCACTGCAAAACAGGGCTTCGGTTTTCTCTGAGACAGTGGTTTTCAAGGTGGGGTCTGGAGACCCTCAGGGACCCATGAGGTCGAAACTATTTTCATAACAACATGATAAGATGTTTTAATTTCTAATACAGTAACTATTGATAAACAAAATTATAAACTGAAGCTCTTTGGGAGGAGATCTTCAACAATTTTTAACAATGTGAAAAGGGGTCCTGATACCAAAAAAAAATAAATTGAGAACCGCTAAGGGCTACAAGAATAGCTAGCATTTATAGAGCACTTTGAGGCTTACAAAGCATTCTATAAACATTATCTCATTTGATCCTCACAAGAAGCCTGGAAGGTAGGTGCTATTATTATCCCCATTTTGAAGATGAGGAAACTGAGGGAAAGAGAGGTTAAATGACTTGCTAGAGTCATACAGCCAGTAAGTATCTGAGGCCATGTTTGACCTGAGGTCTTCTTGACCCCAGCCCAGGTCCAGAACTCTATCCACTGCACCACCCACAGGCTTTTTTTTTTTAATGGGTCCTTTTGCCTTTGTCTACAGGTCCTTAGGCAATAGGATACAGAGAAGTGAGTCATAAATAAGCTCCTTAGAGTAGGGATTACTTCATTCTTTGTATGCACACTGCTTGACACATAGTAGGTGCTTAATAAATGATTATTGATGGATTGAGGGACAAAGTCACCCAAAATAGACCAGCTAGACAAAATCAATGACTATAATACCTCAAAACTTAAAATATTTTATTATTATTATTGACGTGGGTTCTCTTTCTACTGACACAGATCATAATTCTTCTAAAACCTAGTTGCTGTGATCTAAATTTATGCTACTGAAGCCAACCTGGGGATGAACCACCCTGATCTTGGCTACACTGTAACTAAGGCAGGGTTTCCGGGGCTTGGCTGCCCTAGGGGTGTACATTTCCCGGCAGCAATCCACTGACTACCTTAGAATCCTCTGCTGTCCTTCCCTTCCTCTCCTCCATCACAATACATACAGGGATTGAAAGGGAAGAAAATCTAACATATACTTATATGGATAGATGGATGGATGGATGGATGGATGGATGGATGGATGGATGGATGGATGGATGGATGGATGGGTGGATGGATGGTTGGCTAGACGTGACAAAACCGGTTGCATTAACAGCATCCTTCAAGAACCCACCGTCCTTTCCAGATCATTAGCAGACATGGAAGAGTTTTTGGAGACATAACTCTGACAAGCTAGGCAGACACAACTCCCAGAGGCACTGGGACATCCACTAACCTCAACCACAGTGCTCACCATCTTACATAGACAAATGCAAGGCTTTACAGAGGCATCTCGAGTTCACTGAAATGTCATCTTGCCATTCGACAGTTGAATATACTTTCAAATATTATGAAAACCAGCCTTGTGGCTCTCCTGACTATATTCATTTTAGTTCATAGACAAAACATGGGTCAGCTGTGGCTAGAAGTCTTCGGGTGCTGACAAAGCAATGTCAATCCCTGGATCACAGGTTTTAAGCCGGGAGAAAGCTCAGAGGCATCTCATCCAGCCCTTTCATTCTAAAGGTGAGGAAAGAGAGGCCCAGAGAAGCTACCACACAGATGAGAAGCAGTAAAGGAGGGACCACGGGATCATGGATCCAGAGCTGGGAAGGCCCTCAGAGATATCTAGTCCAACTCCCTCGTTTCACAGATGGGGAAACTGAGGACCAGGGAGATTAAGAAAATTGGGCAAAGTCACTCTAGGTAGCAAACACCCTGGGATTTGAACCTATGTCTTCTGACTCCAAGGTTCTTTTCACCACATGATGCTGCCTCTCCAATCAAATCAAAATGGCTCTTGTGAGCAGCACAGGACAAATCAGTAGCATCTCGTTCGATTTCGGGGGATTTCTGGTAGCTCAAAAGGGGAGCTTGTGTCCTTGCTCTGGGCCTCCCGTTATCTCTAAGGCCAATTGCAATCAGGCTTTTTGGAGCCATAGTTTTGGTTCTTGGCAGGTTTGCCTGAAGAGTTTTCTTCAAAACTCCCTTGTCCTGCCAGAAAAGCCCCAGTCAATTTGCTCTTGCAGAAGTGCATTTAGAAAACATTTGCCATGAGTAAATGCTCCAGATGGTTTCTGACACGTAGTAATAGGAAGTATTTTTACATATTAAAAATCAAAGCACTTTCCAACTTCACCAAGTGCTTTTCTCAAAACAACAAGAAACAAGTATTATAATCATCCACATTTTACAGATGAGGCCACAGAGACTCTGAAGTGACTTACCTTGAAAGGACCTGTAACTACAGGAATCAACACTGGGATTTGGAGCCGGGTCTCCAGACTGCAGGCCCACTTCTCTTGCCTCTTTATCATCCTATCTACTCCTTTCTAGTAAAAAGATGTGGCTTTAAGAAAGGTCATTTCACTGCCCTACTACACAAGACAAACTAGGAAGTGTTTAATCTAATATTATTTCTAGGAACATGTTTAATGATTAACTATTAATATCAGTTAGACCTTGGAAGGTAGTGAGTTCTCCTTCCTTGGAGATCTTTAAGCAAAGACTGAATTTGTTGGGGATGTTAGAGAAAGGCTCTTGGTCTGGTATAATTTGGACTCGGTGGCTTCTGAGATCCTTCTAACTCACAGACTCTGGGATTCTGGGGTTAATTTGGCAGAAAAAACAATATTATATAATAGAAACATGGAGTCAAGGGAGCTAGGTTCAAATCTCTGCTCTGACATGCTCTAACTGTGGCATCACAGCAAAGTTGTTTTACCCTCCATGCTTCTTTCCCTCATTGGTAAAATGTACCAACTGTAGGACCGTGGGTGTGACAGTCTTTCTGGGCCCCAGGCAGCCCTTTAGGTCTATAAATGACAGGTGAATGGCTGATCCGCCTTGGTGGAATGAATTTCTACAATGCAAGTTCTGGGATCGCAGAATGAGATACCATCCTCCTCTCCCACTCCTAGCAATGAAAGAAGATGTCAAAAATGTAAACACTAGCTTTACAGAGAGAGGATCTGATTCATCTCCCGCCTCTGATGCTCACTGCTTGGGCAACTTTGGATGTATCTTTCAACTTCCCTAGGAATCAATTTCCTGATCTGTAAAATAAGGGGACTGGATGAGATGGCCTTTAAAGCCCCTCCCAGTTATAGAGTGATGATTCTCTGACCTGGGTTCAAATGCTACCTCTGATGCTTACTATTTGTGTGACCTTGGTCAAGTCCCTGAACCTCTTTGGGCCTTAGCTTCCTCATCTGTAAAATGGGCCTATTATGATGGTTATTGCAACATATTATATGTGACATCATTGTTATCACAATAATCAACAAATAAGCATACCTGTATATGCAGATCACTCTACCATATAGATAAAATACTTCCACCAATTATTCTGTTCTGTACAATGATTATTTATTCCCTCTCACGCTTTTAAAAAAAAGAAAGAAAACATTAAAAAAAAAAAGAAAGAAAACATTTTTGAAAAAAGAAAAAAAAACATTAAAAAAGGAAAAAAAGAAAGCTAACCTTACTATGCCTTCTTAGCACTTAGGTTTCTGAGGCCTGCAGATCCTGAAGGTTCTCTGTTATTGGTCGATTTAGAGTTTCTGGAAGAAGTAGATCCAAGAGTCCTGCTGACAGCCCACTGATGCCAAACACCACAAAGGGGACAGATGGGCTGATAGATTTCTGGAATTGTAAATGTCAGTGGTTGAAATGACCAATTTTTTTTTCACACCCTTCATACTGTTCTTTCAAGACTCTCAAATTCATTTTTGACCTCACTGAGTCATCTACCATAAATAAAGGCAGTCCTTTCAGGTACTCCACAAAGTCAATACACAGAAAACCGTGTATTATTTATTTCATAAATAAGCTCACATCTCACCCCAAAGCCAAACTTCCCCAACATGTGAGTATAAGAAAACACCAACCCCACCCCTGCAAAGAGGAAAATTTAAGAAAATATAAGAGGCCTCATAAAGACTTGAGTTCAAATCAGCATTGCCAATGGAGATCTCCATTTCCCCATCAGTAAAATAAGGAAGCTGGGCTAACTGGCCTCAGAGATGCCTTCCTGCTCTAAGATCCTGCCCACAAACAAAGGGTTACAAATATCTGCCATTTCCTCAGCACTATGACCCTTGTAAGGTACTTTACATACATTATATAATTTGAACCTTACAACCACCCTATGAGATAGGCATTAATTTCTACATTTTACAACTGAGGAAGCAAAAGGTCAGTGACTTGCCCAACGTCACATAGCGGGGCCCATCAGAGGTGGATTTGAACACAGGTTTCTCCCAGCTCTGAATCCAACATTCCTTCTACCGTCCCAAGTGGCCACTCAGTCAGAAAGGCTGATTTTATAAGATATTTATGATGAATTTTACATTCCTTGGGATTTGAACAGAAGCTCGTCTTGGAGGTAGATGACTCATCTTTTTACAAGTGCACTTTTTTTTTATCAATGAAATATTTTTTTTTGTTTTTTTTTTTTAGGCAATTGGGGTTAAGTGACTTGCCCAGGGTCACACAGCTAATAAGTGTCAAGTGTTTGGTCTGAGGCCGCATCTGAACTCAGGTCCTCCTGACTCCAGGGCTGGTGCTCTATCCACTGCGCCACCTTGCTGCCCCAATGAAACATTTTTAAAATACATGAATTAGACCAGCAAAAAGTAGGTGAGTAGAACAAGGATAGAGATACCATTTTTAATTTACTATATACTTTAAAAAAAACCCAAAAACAAACAAGCCGGGGGCAGCTAGGTGGTGCAATGGATAGAGCATGGGACCTGGATTCAGGAGGACCTGAGTTCAAATTCGGCCTCAGACATTTGACACTAGCTATGTGACCTTAGGCAAGTCACTTAACCCCATTGCCTAGCCAAAAAAAAAAAGCTGTATGTAACAGGGATTCATAATTTGATATGCAATCCTTTTTCTGCACTCTGTATCTGATCTGTTCATGTGCATTAAAGTTTGTCAAATTCATAATAATAATGATGAATTTTTTAAAGTGCTATCTTTTATAAGACAATAGAGAATACTTCACAATACTATTAATAACAGTTAGTATTTTTATAGCACTATACTAAGCCCTTTACACATATATTCTCATTCAATGTTTACAACAACCTTGAGAGATAGGGGCTATTATTATCCCCATTTTACTGTTGAGGAAACTGAGGCAAAATGATCTGCCCATGGTCACACAGCTGCTAAATGTCTGAGGCTCCATTTGAACTCAGATCTTCCTGACTCCTGATCTAGCACTCTATCCACTGGATCACCTTGCTGCTTAAGAAAAAGTGAAGATTTTAAAATCTCAATTTCAAATTCAAGTGTCAGTGTGATTTCATTGGTGCAAGGGAATTCATTTTCTCCAATAACACAACCATCTTCATCTTAAAGTCTTAGAGAGTTTCTTGAGGTTCAGATAGGTTAGGTGATTTGCTCATGATCACACAGCTAGCAAGTATCAGAGACAGAACTAGAACCCAAGTATTTATTCCTGACTCTGAATCCAGCACTCTCTCCCCTAAGCTAAGCTGCCATACCTACAAATATCTCAGGAACTGTCTCTAAAATAAAAACAAAATCAAAAATCTAACTTACCATGGTGGGTACAAAAGGAACCAATATACCACCAAGTCTGCAAGTCATTGAACAGGCCAGCATTCCTTTTAAGACAAAATCAGAGAAGTGATCGTAAGTCATAAATAACAGGCACAAAAACCAATTCCAGAATCTAAATATGTTGGCCAGAGATCCAACACATGGGGTTAATCCAGGGCAAGAGTCCTTGACCTTTGCTATATCATAGATCCCTTTGGCAGTCTTGTGAAGCCTATGAACCCTACATAGAATTGCCTACATTAATAATTAAAAGAAATGCTAAATTTTAGTTCAAGTTTAGTAAAAATAAAGATGTAATTTTTTTTCCCCATTCAAGTTTATGGACCCCCTGAAATTGATCCATGGACCTGGACCCTGATTAAGAAACCCTGATCAAGGGTGCTGGAATCCTGGGAGTCCAGGGTCATTTGGTGATGGAGAAAGAGAGGACGTGGCAACTGCCTAAAAAGATCCCAGGATTGTAGATTTGAAGAAACCTTGAAGGTTATTGAGTCCCTCATTTGGCTGGTGATAAAAATGAAGCGGAAAAATCTTAAGTGACTTTCCTCAGGTCACCTAGGATATAATATGCACAAAGTCAGAATTAGAACTCAGGTCTTTTGACTCCAAACAATTCCTATCCTGTTTTGTTTGTTTGTTTCCTCACGTGCTTATGGGTTAGTTAGTTGGTTGGTTTGTTGGAAGAGAGTAGTGAAAAGGGTTTGGATCACTGATTTCATCCAGGTACAGGACTACCAACATGGAAATTCCCTTGCCTAAGAATTGTATCTTAAAGATCAGTGAATACACCTCAAGGGTTTCAGAGTCCAGAGCCCACTGTGGAATTCAGAAGCCCTATCCTTTCACAGTCATTCACTCAAGTATTTCATTTACTCATTAATTCCCAAGTGCCTCACATTGTGCCAGGTGCTGTAGGAGTTTACAGGTGAAACACAAGCCATGGTTTATATATAGGTCACTTGCCTGGGGTCACACTGAGGCTGGATTCTAACTCTTGATCACTCCAGGTCCAGTACTCTGCTGTCGTTCAGTTTTTTCAGTCATGTCCCACTCTTTGGGACCCCATCTGGTTTCCAGGGCAAAGATACTGAAATGGTTTGCCATTTCTCTCTCTAATGTGCTCTATCCACTGGTATTTTCAAAATGATATAAAAATTGCTGGTGATTATATAGCTCCTTCTATAGGTTATCCATTTGGGGCTCACAATAACCCTCTAAGACAGGTGCTATTATTATCAAATTTTACAAATGAGAAAACTGGGCTAAGGAGAGGTTGAGTCATTTGCCAAGGGTCTCAGATCCTGGAAGAGGCTGAGGCAGGATTTTGAAGCCCCAGGTCTCCCCACTGCACCATCTAGCAGCAACTCACCTAAAAGCCAATTTGATGAAGAAATCTAATGCTTGTTCTGAGAGGATAAAAAGATAAATGGTAGGTGTTTTTACATCAGTGCTAGCTACGGTGGGATGAGGAAGGTAATAGATGGGAGGGATGAAGCTGCCTTTTGAAGACAACTTATAAAATACATGAGGTCTACTAAGAAAAGACAAAAACTCAGAAAGACAAGATTGGAACATCACTGTACATGTCATTGCCAAGAGCATGGAAGCTCCTGGAGGGCTGGGACTGTTTCATTTTGTCTTTCTTTTATGCCTAGTGCCTAGCCCAGTGTTGGGCGTGCAGTAAACATTTAATAAATACTTACTGAATTGAATGTCCTGCCTCACCTCATCTCCCAACAGACTAAGATTTATGAACGTTTTACCTAAACTTTGCATCTCCCCTAGAATTGACTGTAACGTTCTGCTCACAGTAATAAATAACATTAAAAAATAATAAAAATTGTTTATTGAGTTGAACTAAAGTACAAATCTGGCCTCAGACACTTACTAGCTGTGTGACCCTAGGCCAGTTATTTAACCCTGTTTGCCTCAGTTTCCTCATCTTCCACCCTGGAGAAGGAAATGGCAAACCGCTCCTGCATCTTTGCCAAGAAAACCTCAAATGAGGTCACAAAAAGTCATACCTGCCTGAAAAATGACTAAACAACAAAAAAGTAAAAATCATGAAGGGATGGAACAAACACAGACTGGTCCCCTATAGCAGAGGAGCCCAATCTTTTGACCCCTGAATGAGGAAGCTTAGGGCAAATAAAATGAAGTACTAAGAAGACAGAATAGATCAGAGGACATGAGTTCATATCTCAGGTTTGCTGCTTTCCACCTGTGTGATCCCAAACTAATCGCTTCTCTCTGGGACTCAGTATCCTCCTTTTAAAAATGAGGAGATTGGCCCTTTGACCCAGCAATAGCACTTCTAGAGCTGTATCCCAAAGAGATCATACAAATGGGAAAAGGACCCACATGTACAAAAATATTTATTGCAGCTTTTTGTGTTGACAAAGAATTGGAAATTGAGGGAATGCCCATCAATTGAGGAATGGCTGAACAAGTTGTGGTATATGAATATAATGGAATACTATTGTGCTATTAGAAATGATGAGCAAGTGGACTTCAGAAAAACCTGGAAAGACTTGTATGGACCGATGCTGAGTGAAGTGAGCAGAACCAGGAGAATGTTATACACAGTGACAGCCATGTTGTGTGATGACTAACATCGATAGACTTAGCCCTTCTCAGCAATGCAAGGATGTAAGACATCTCCAGAGGCCTCATGATAGAAATGTTATCCACATCCAAAGAAAGAACTATGGAGTTTGAATGCAAATAGAAGCACACTATTTGCTATTTTTTTCCTTCTGTTTTGTATTGTTTTCTCTTTCTTGTGCTTCCTCCTATTGGTTCTAATTCTTCCTTACAACATCACTAACATGAAAATATGCTTAATAGGAATGTATAGGTATAGGCTTATCAGATTGTGTGCCATCTTGGGGAGAGGTAGGAAAATGTAAAACTCAAAATCTTATGGAAGTGATTGTTGATAATTCAAAATAAATTAATAAAAAAGTGAGGAGATTGGGACTAGATGAGAAGTTAACCTTTTATTAACCTCTTTTGTATCATGGAACCCTTTGGCATTCAGGTGCTCCCTATGAATCTCTTCTCTGAATCATGTTCATAAATGCATAGAATTACATAAGCTTACAAAGAAAACCAATTCTATTGAAATACAGTTATCAAAATATGAAGCAAAAAAAATTTAAAGACAGGTTGAAGAATTTCTGGACTAGATGATCTCAGTTTTAAATCCTGTAATCCTACAGACTTTAAACAGAAGCTAGTAAATTTAGGTTTATTCCCAGAGTCAGAAGTTGAAACACATTCCTGGTGAAAGATTCATAATAGATTAGCTGAAACTCAAAAGTCTGGGCAACATCCCTAACCCATTAAGAGTGACATATAGGAATATATCCTTCAATTTAATGCAATGCAATCTGTTTCAGTTCAACCCATGGGCATTTATTAAGTGCCTGCTGTGTTACAGACACTGTTAGACACCAGAGATACAAAGAAAGACAAAAAAAGAAACTGTTGCTGGTCTCAAGGAGCTTCCTGAAAGACCCACACTCTCAGATAAGTAAACACGAAATACATCTGAAATACAAAGTCATTTAGGAGGACCAGGAGGGGGAGATAACAACCGACAGGGATCAGCAAAGGACCAAGGGAGGAGGCCACAGAAGAGGCAGCCTTGGGAAGGAGGTGACCGATGAGGCAGGGGCACACTGCAGGGATGGGGGATGCTGCCTTCCCAGAAATGGTCCTTGAGCCCACTGCCAAAGACATAACACTGGGATGAAAGAGCTGCAGATCTGGCTCCACGTGGTAACTCTGCTTTTGTCAGTTTCTTGTTTATTTCTTTACCCAGGGCTTTTCTCTAAGAGCTTGCAGTGAGAATAAGACTCTTCTGTGCTTCTGAACAGGCCTGTCTTATAGTGGGAGTTACCCTGAAACCAAAATAATAATATATCCTATGGCTAAAAGTTTAAAGGAAAAAGACCAAAACCTGGGCCTTTTGATATTTACCTAAGGAGCTAAGCCTTTGCAGAGTTAAGGACCAAAAATCAATGCCACTGCAAAGCTTCAGTCAGACACCAGATGGCGCCGAGACTTTGTGGTCTCACTTTGACCTTCACTTCCGTCCAAGGTCATAGTCAGGGGCTCTTAGAATTCAGGCCTTGTGACATCTAGTGCAGTGCTTCTCAAAGTTTTTGGTCTCAAGACCCTTTTGCACTATTTAAAAAAAATTACTGAGAACCCTTCCCAAGAGGTTTTGTTTATGTGGGTCAACTCTACCCACATTTGCCACATTAGAAATTGAAACATCTTAGTAGTATGACAAAAGCAGTTTTGACCTTGAGGATTCCCAGGATCACACTTTGAGAGTTGCTGTTCTAGTCCAATTCTTCACACTTTTACAGATAAGGAAAATGGGGTCTTTTCGGGGGAAATGACATGCCCAAAGTCACACAGCCTCTAAGTGGGACTTAAACCCAGAGTCCCAGGAAGGCAATGTGGTACAATGGATTTGGGTTCAAATTCCCATCTCTACCACTTACTGCCCGTGTGACCTCAGGAGAATGACTTAACCTCTCAGTCCTAGTTTTCTCAGGACTTATTTTTCCTCATTTTCTTCATGTTACAAGTACTTTACATTATAGAAGTACTTTCTATCTCTAGAGCTATGAACCTATGACTTCAGATTTGGATTTTTTTTTAAATGATTTGAAAATATATCATCAAAAAAAGTTAAGGAATACTACTGCTTATGAAATACTATTGGGGGATGATTTCTAAATGGTTCCAAGATCACATGTGTAATGAGTAGCAAAGCCCATTTGAACTAAGGTCTTCAGACTAAGTCCAATGCTTTGTTCCCCATGGTAGGCTGTTCCAGGTCAGGGCGTGTAGGGTGGAGCAGGGACTGGCAGAATCTGGGCCAAGCAAACCGGAACCAGGCAAGCAGAAGCCTGAAGGCAACCCTGCTAATGCTAAAACAATAGGCAAGAATGGTATCTATTGTTCCGTGTTCTAGCTTCTGGGAAGGGCTGTCATCTGGTAGGTTCTGAGAGTTCAGCCAGACCTG